CCCCAAAACCCCAAAACCCCAAAACCCCAAAACCCCGGGCGACTGTGAACAAATTGATATTGCTATATCACGAGGAAATAATTCCCTGTACTATAGAAAATAAGGATTAGATATAGTCTTTGAAATAATTTAGGCCTAAGGTATCATAAAATCAAGTCACTTGTGTAAATGACTGTTTCAATCTTTGAAGGTATAATGAAACTTTTGATCCATTTTTGCAACATGCTTGCAATAGAGATTAGACTAAAGGCAACCACGGCCAAAATTATAACTCCATGGCAAGAGAAGTTGAAGTTTTCTTTAAAATTTAAAATTCCCTTTTCATCTTGCTCAATTTAAGCTAATAAAGTTCGAAAATTACGCCCAAGGGATGAAGAGGCTTAATTGACAGCAAAGGTATTAAAAATTAATTCACAGATACCCTTATTTTGTGGTTTATTTACCAAAAGAAAGTTCTTTTTTCTAAGTTAAATTAAAAATCATACTTTAAATTACACAATAGAATGAAAAATAATAAGTGAAGTTTCTAAGCACAGTGTTAAAAATAAAAGAAGGATTTCTAAACTTTGTGAGATTTTGATCAAACAGAGTTTACCTCCTAAGCTTTCAAACTGAGAAATAAACCTGCTTGTATAGTAGACTGAGAAAGTGGATACAGCACATTTTTATGTATTATTTAACCAACATACAGATTATCACTGTCTTGGATTTCAAATGAGGGATTGCATATAATGGAAGCTTATCTGATAGTTTTCTGCCACCAAAGATGAATACTCAATTTTCTAATTCTGTATCAGATTTGCTTATCTGATCCAGATACTGAACCTTAAGCTCGCTTATTAATGTGTAATTGCTCACATCAAATTCATAATCTTCTTCTCCAATAGTTCTATAAACAATGTAGTAATGCTGAGAAAAGAATTAGAAAAGTTATTCAGCATATTAAAAACTCTATTATTCATCCCATGGGAAGCATCCACATTTTAACATGCCGATAAACAATATAAAGCAGAAATTTGAATGATTTACCTAATCTTGATCTCTTCTAACTCTTCCTCAGCTGGCTTATCTTTTGTATCAATTAAGTCCGCATCACTTGGCTTGAAAGAATCAGGCTCGTTGATGCATGCGATTGGGATTCTGTAAGGATACTTATTCTCGTCAAATATTAATGTCATGATTCCAGCATGTGGAGTTAATCCAGTCGCCTTGATCATTGCTTCTGCATCAGCAGGCTCTGCATCTATTGAGTTTCTAATGACAGCCCAGATCTCTGGGTTGCCCTGAGTTCTAGTGCTCCAAAATTCCTCTCTGTACTTTAAAAGCCCTTCTTCGTCCACCTTTCATTCATAAGCAGGGGTTCATTTTATACCTTCCCCCACAAACTTGCCTTCAATGATCTTCTCAATCCTTGGGTTAGGGAGGTAGTTTCCTCCTGATCTTTGTCTTCCGCCTCCAGTACTCCTTCTAGTCTGATTATTCCTGTTGGAGTTGTTGCCGTTGGCTTCACTACTTCCATATCAACCCATTTTTAATTAATATTATTCTATTTTCCTTCTTTTGTTCGGGGTTTTGGGGTTTTGGGGTTTTGGGGTTTTGGGGTTTTGGGG